TTGATTCGACTGCTCGTGAATTCTCGATTACGCTGTCGGGTGTGCCGTTGTGGCACAAGGTTTCGGCATCGTTGGAGGGTACTTTGTGCGGACGTCACATTTTAGATGACCTTTTACGAGTTCCTAGATAATGCGAGGCCACGGATATACAGAATAGCGATGATTAACGTGTACGAATACGTGAAATACGGGGCGAGGCTTTAGTTCCGAACGCAAGGCTACGGAATTCCTAAGTGCCCGTCCGTACACGAAAGTTCAGGGAAACTGTGGTTTCACCTGTTAACCGTGGTCAGCACCTTGCGCCTAATTGGACACGGTTCTCCTTCGTTTGTTTCTACCTCGCTCTAACCTTCCATCGACGCTCTTCCGTGAACAAGTAGCGAGACGACGGTTATGGTTACCGTTGATAACTGGACCACGGAGCTTTATGCAACATTAAAATTGTCTGCGTCTGCTGCGAAGAATAGTAATTCTAGTAATAGTAATTGTAACAGCAATAGTAATTTTTATCGTAATTGTAATAATAATAGTAATTTTAATAGTAATTATGATATCGATAGTAATTTTAATAGTAATTGTAATAATAATAGTAATAGCAATTTCAATAGTAATAGTAATTTTAATAGTAATTTTGATAGTAGTTTTAATAGTAACTTTGATAGTAATTTTAATAGTAGTTTTAATAGTAATTTTAATAGTAATTTTGATAGTAATTTTAATAGTAATTTTGATAGTAATTTTAATAGTAGTTTTAATAGTAATTTTAATAGTAATTTTGATAGTAATTTTAATAGTAATTTTGATAGTAATTTTAATAGTAGTTTTAATAGTAATTTTAATAGTAATTTTGATAGTAATTTTAATAGTAATTTTGATAGTAATTTTAATAGTAGTTTTAATAGTAATTTTAATAGTAATTTTGATAGTAATTTTAATAGTAATTTTGATAGTAATTTTAATAGTAGTTTTAATAGTAATTTTAATAGTAATTTTGATAGTAATTTTAATAGTAATTTTGATAGTAATTTTAATAGTAGTTTTAATAGTAATTTTAATAGTAATTTTGATAGTAATTTTAATAGTAATTTTGATAGTAATTTTAATAGTAGTTTTAATAGTAATTTTAATAGTAATTTTGATAGTAATTTTAATAGTAATTTTGATAGTAATTTTAATAGTAGTTTTAATAGTAATTTTAATAGTAATTTTGATAGTAATTTTAATAGTAATTTTAATAGCAATTGTAATAGTAATAGTAATTTTAATAGCAATTGTAATAATAATAGTAATTTTAATAGCAATTGTAATAATAATAGTAATTGTAATAGTAATTTTAATAGTAATTGTAATAGTAATAGTAATAGTAATTTTAATAGTAATTTTGATAGTAATTTTAATAGTAATTGTAATAGTAATAGTAATTTTAATAGCAATTGTAATAGTAATAGTAATTTTAATAGCAATTGTAATAGTAATTATGATAGCAACAGTAATTTTAATAATAATTGTAATAGTAATAGTAATTTTAATAGTAATTTCAATAGTAATAGTAATTTTAATAGCAATTGTAATAGTAATAGTAATTTTAATAGCAATTGTAATAATAATAGTAATTGTAATAGTAATTTTAATAGTAATTAGAACAGTAATTTTAATAGCAACTGTAATAGTAATAGTAATTTTAATAATGTCATTATCTCGAAAATAACGCATCGATGCCGTTAAATGTTTTCGATCTCTCCTCCACTGTTCGACGTTAAAAATGCTCGACCTTGTCATAAATGCATAAAGTTCGCAGTTCGATAATCACGTTGCGAAATTATATTACAGCGAATTCCCTCCCAATTGTCCCTCAGCTTGTAAACAAAAATGGACACAGCCTGGGAAGAGGAGATACGATTATTCGAGGCTCACGGCTCGTTTTTATAGTTGCCGATTGTCAAGGTCATCTTTAAAACGCGGCAGAGGGCTATTTTCGTTTACAAGTTGAAGGACAATTGGGGAGAAATTTACTGTGTTCTGTCGTCTGAAAGAGCGCCGACGGTCGATTGAAACGGGTTTACTCCCCCATCGCTTCGATTACGTTTAGTAGACCTATGGATTCGATTTGTCAGACACGTTGCGCGAGTTTTGCGTGCGAGCGCACGGCCTCGCGGAACGACAAAAGAGGACCGTTTTATTCGGTGATTGCGTGCCGCCGCCAATCTCCGTTATCTCCGAAAGCGCAGGTAGCACGTATACCTTGCAAATTTGACTCGAACGAATCGATACGGGCCGTACTGTCGATACAATAGTTTCAACTGACCCGTTTCCGGTCCAGCAGACGGCGGCAGAGGGGTTCGGGCTCTGTGCGTCGGCTGATCGGCCATCGAGGCGCGAGAGAAAACGGGCAAACGGTTTCCCCGTTCTTTTTTTCTCTCTCTCTCTCTCCCGTTATTTTTGCTTTCCTCCTTTGTTCGTTTCTGGCAGCTCGATATACTGCTTCCTGTCGATAATTTTATATCTAATATCGTCTCCACGATCACCGGGCTCCTAATTAACGAGGTTGCCCGGGATACCGTCGCTCTCTCTTATTCTAATAATCGCGATCATATGACAAAGTATTGTAAACAACGAAATGTTAAGGTAACATTTCGTAAGAATTCTTGGAGAAATTTCACAATACGATTATATTATTCATAACTCGATGCAATTATTCAAGATTGGAGTAAATGCTTATGCGGTTCCTGTTTCTTGCAATGGATGCACGAACCATTTATTTCGCATAAACATCCCCGCGGTCTAGTTGTTATAGTCCGCAGAGATTTATCATAGCAATTTAAGGAATTGAGTTTGTTATTTTTTTATTTTAACTCTGTATCAAGCCACCTCTGCGTTTTCATTTCGTGATTTTATAACTAATGGCTAACTTCCCGTACATGTTCGATAAATAAATAAATAAGTAATTAAATCGTCAAAGAAATCTCATATTTCGAACGTTGCTCGAATAAATAACTTTATTTGAAACTCTCGTATGCGACCATATTTGTCAATTGTAAACGCACGATTTATAAAAAAATTATCATTATATTTACTTTTAATTTGTAAAAAAATTATTATTATATTTACTTTTAATTTATAAAAAATTAATATGTTTAATTTTAATTTATAAACATTAAAAAAAGAATGTTTGTCAGATATCTCGCGAAAATATGGTTTTAGGGTTGTTTTTACCCCTAAACGTAGAAATCGTAAAAATATACGTGTCGAATATATATTTTCAAGAAACTGTGTCTCGTACTAAAGTTACATTAAATTCGGCGTGTCGTATTTGGACGTGGTCCCTTGTCAGCGACAGGGTGACGAACGAATGCGATTGTCAGCGATTCGTCGAATCTAATCGAATCGATGGTACTAAAACTGGTAGCTGGAAGCATTGTCTCATAAGAACGAGAAGTACGTGCTGGAGATGTTGTTAATTTCGGCAATGAAACGTCGCTTTGCAGAACCTCAGCGGGATGGTAACGAATGAATGCGATTATCGATCTCGCCCCGAGGGAGGCTCGGGGCGACAACGAGCGAACTGGGACGAGATTCTCAGCCATCCGGCCCCCCCATCCTCCAAAAAACTCTTTGGATCCCGGCTGTCTATTCTCGCGAGGAATTCTCGGCCCGGTCAATTATGGAACGATCTCGGCGAATATTGGGGTCGAAGGTCGAGAGCCTCCTCGGGAATATCGAGGGGTGCGCCACCCCGACGATTCCGAAAATCGAGCCTCCTATTTCATTTAATTTGCATCGTGCCGAATCTCTCGACTCGCGGTAATTATCGGACGGCGAATCTTTATGCAAAACAGAAGTTTTCAGCGTCGGTTGCAACGAAATCGTGGGGTTGCCGAAAAATTTCTACGTTGCATCAGTCGTTTGAACTCGTCGCCGTGCCTTTTTGACGAGTCTGACTCGTGATCCAGATTTCTAGAAACAAGTATGGACATTATTTCGACCTTTTAAGCGGCGATAATATTCTGTCCTCTCGTTGTCGATATTTTAGCATCGAAGTAAATAATAAATATAACAAATTATTGTCGATAATTATATATACTATATTATCGATAATTATATATTGATTAATTTTTAAGTTAATATATTAATTTTATTTACCAATGTTCTCAATATATCAGTGAAAATGCGCCCTTTGGACAAGTATGGTTTTTCTAGATACCTTAACTACCAAACCGGTTTAAAACGACTGGTTTCCGATTTTTATTTTTACAGTTTCCTCTCTCTCTCTCTCTCTCTCTCTCTCTCTCTCTCTCTCTCTTGTTTTATAAAAATACTTCTGTG